GTTGACGACAGTAAGCTTTGTCCCTTTCCAGATTAATATTGGAATCTTTACTAACAGAGTATAGCATACGGTGACACTCACCTGTTCTGCACGTGCCCTCCTGTCGAGGATACCACAGCAGAGTAAATCGATGATTTTGCATCCGATAGACATGATACCAGCAGACCATAGATTTGTGCCTGCATGACAGCTTTTATGTCTTCAACACGGGAACGGCTAGGCGATCTCAGACAGGGCATCTAACCCGTTGAGATCCCTCTTGTTCTCTGACATCCTTCAACATTTTTCCAATCATCTCTTAGCAAGCGGGGATTTGAGTTCCTACGATTTCAACAGGGAATACACATACACCTTCATGTTTACTACATATGAATGTGCGGGCGGGTTTATGGGGCCGGAGACATGGGCCACCGGGGAGTTTAAACAACAAAACAACAAAAATGGTTGTTTTGTTGGGGTTATTGCATTATTGGGCGTGCGAATTTGGTTTTGGTTATCTAGGTACCTAGACTGGCATTTCTAGCCGGGAAAAATATTGATATTGATAAGTTCAACTTGAAGTGTCTGGTGATGTTTGGAAAGATGTGTGCCATTATGATTGCCATTCTATCCTCTTCGTTTTTTTGATGGATTCATACCCAGAAGAAGCCCTTCACCTGTTTGCTTTCATGGTCTTTGGCTCTAGTGGGGAGTCTTTAGACAGCGTCTACCGCCCTAGGCAAAATCAACTCTTCGGGAACTGAGCAGGTAGGGTGGCAGTGTTTTGTCATCCAGAGAGCATCCTTTCCATGATAGAAAACCCTGCGAGAAATGGGGCTTTGGGTATCTAATCTGACTGATGACTTTCCATGGTAGCCATGTGCTTCTAGGCGGTCGGATTACATGCAGTGATGACCCGAAGATTCAAGAGACTTTGTGTTCCCCGGTACACCGAGCCGACCCCACTCGGCGGTCCGGCCTTCCTGATCAGGACGCCGTAACCTTCCAGGTTCCCACCTCAAAACTCCCCCAGAACTACGGCTCATCACCTGTGAGCTCACCTTACTCACCCTCATCTCATATCTCACTCTATCGTCTCTCGTCAGTTGATTGTCGCGGACTTTCATCAATTGAGCGTGTCCTGGCTCACAAGTAAGCCAAGATGGTCCGGATTACGACTTTAGCAGTCTCCGGACTCGCGCTCCTCACTCGTTTCGCCTCCGCGGTCGCGACGCAGGCAGACATCGAGTCGCCCGACTTCACCACCCTCTCGGTGCCGGAACACCCGCACCACGCTATCCGCATCAAGGAGCAGAGCGATGAGATCTGCAACGCGGGCTCGAGGCAGTGGACCGGATGGCTAGACACTGGTGGCAAACACCTCTTCTTTTGTGAGTGAAATGTGCCCAAAACATTGGAAGTGAACGCGCGACTAAAGCGATAATGATAGGGTATTTCGAGAGTCTGAACGATCCCGAGAATGACCCCCTCAGCCTCTGGATGACAGGCGGACCAGGCGGAAGCGGTCTCGTGGGCCTCATGCTAGAACTCGGCCCCTGCCTCATCAACGACAACGGCACAGGCACAGTACACAACCCCTACGCCTGGAACGCAAACACCTCCATGATCTTCGTCGACCAGCCCGCCGGTACGGGGCTCTCCTACTACGACGAGGACGTCACCCCGCCCGCGACGTCCTACACCGCCGCCGAGGACATGAACATCTTCCTCCGCATCTTCTACCAGGCCTTCCCCGGCCTCGCCACTGCGCCCTTCCACATCGTAGGCGAGAGCTACGGCGGGCACTACATCCCCGCCCTCGCGGCCGAGATCGTCTCCTACAACACGGGATCCCCGCCTCCGGACTTCAAAGTCCCGCTGGCGTCGGTGCTCATCGGGAACGGCTACGTCTCGCCTGCCGACACGACGTGGGGCTTCTACGATACCCTCTGCACCACCAAGCCCGGCGTCCCGGAGCCCGTATTTAACGAGAGCATGTGTGGGTTGATTGCCGATGCGCTGCCGCGGTGCATGTACCTCCAGCAGGCATGCTACGCCTTCCCGGACCCCATTGTCTGCGGCGCCGCGACGGACTTCTGCTTCGGGCACGTGGATCTGCTGTATTACCAGGACGTCAAGGCCGGCGGACGGAATCCGTTTGATATTACGCGGCCATGCGAAACGGAGAACATCTGCTACGGTGCTGGGGATGGGATTGAGAAGTACATCAAGACGGAGCGGGTGCTTGCCGCGCTCGAGGTTCCGGAGGCGGTGGGCAAGAACTTTAGTCTCATTTCCATGGACGTCAACGAGCGGTTCGAGCTGGCGGGTGACGTGTTCTTGAGCACCGAGGCGGATGTCAAGTATATCCTCGAGAATGGGGTCGATGTGCTCGTGTATAACGGCGACTTGGACCTCGCGTGCAACACGGCTGGTAACGTGCGGTGGACGAATAAGTTGTCGTGGGCTGGGCAGGTTGAGTTTGTTGCTAAGGAGCTCGAGCCGTGGTTTGCGGTGAAGAAGGGCGGGGAGACGGTCAAGGCGGGTATGTGGAAGCAGGTTTCTAAGAAAATGAGGGGGAGTAAGGAGACGAGGCTTGCGTTTGTGACTGTTGCGGGGTCGGGACATATGGTGCCGTTGGACCAGCCTGAAGTTGGGTTGCAGATGGTGAGGAATTGGTTGTCTGGGGATTTTGGCAAGGCTGTGAAGGGTGGTCCGGAGATGGTGGTCCAGGGCCAGAAGGAATTCGTGTCTTTGGAGTTGTAGTCTGACACGTTTGATGACAGAAGTTGGACACTTTGATTCGTTTGTTTTGGTAGCTGCTGCTGGATGTGTGGTTGCGTGAACTTTGATGTATACTATTCTTACGAAATCGCCAAGAGAAAGACACGAGTGTAACTATTTGAAAGACAGTGAAGACTTCAAGAGCACGACTATGTGAGGAAAGCTGAAGTTGATATGAGTTCGTCCTCACGGTGTAAGTAGCCCACAGACCACCAAGCTGAAGACATTCTGCGAGAAGCTCGGTGTGCGCATCATCGACTACACTCAGGGCGACTTGATCGATCTCCTTCAGCAAGATGGTGCCATCTTCAATCTTACCGTTAATAATGTCAGCAACGACCATAGGCTGTTCGAATCTGCCCATCTGTACACCATAACAGAGGCCAAGTCCATTCAAGTTGGGGGCGAGTTCAGTACCTTCTCCATTGTCAAACTTGCACTGAGAGCGTCACTTCCGGGTTTCATGAGTGGAAGCAAGCGAAAGTCCAAATATCGGCTGCTGGATCAAGCGTCGGTTACCTGACCATATTGGGGAATCTGGCCGTCGAGAAAAAAGGTCGAGATTGTTATTGGCGAGGAGTTGAGTTTTGGATAAGTCATCGATGGCTTGGGGAAACTTTGAATTGGACGTACAAAAGGCAAACTCAGTATAGCAATCCCAAATGTGTAGGCTTTTTCGGTCATGGCTATCCAATAGAGACCTCACTATACCGCCGCTTTTTGTTGATGTATTGCTATTCTGCGCGTGTTCGTTACCTGTCGCCTGCTTCAATGGGAGGCACTTGCCTAGCGCCTGAGATGCAACGCCAGCTAGTTCATTGAAGCTGAGAATCATGAATATTACCGTTTTCAAGGTGGCAGGTGATCTAACCTAACTGTCGGATTGGAAGTCCAATTCGACCGCGGCATACGGCCAACTGCGCAGGGGCCAATTGGGGGCCCTATTTACGATTATCGTAGCCAGCCCAACCTACGGTTGGAACCTCCTTTTTTACACCTACGCAGAAATTCATATAGTTCAATTGATCTCTTCGTCAACCTACGGTTCGAACCAACTACCCTGTAATAGGGATACCAACACTAACTGACCGACATAATCGCAATAAGCGAACGACAGAACAGGGGGCAATGGAAGGAGCCAGGATAAGACCGTTGGTCACGAGGCGCCTTGTCACCTAGAAGATCGTCAGCTAGCCGCGGGTATGACCGGAGTTACCGGGCACTGATTGGTTTCTTTTTCTTCCTCTGTCCATTTACACGAACAGGGGTGGAGACTAATTGGACGATCATGGATCACCTTTTTCAGCCTCACTGATAGCTATTGCGCACGATGCGCATGCTTATGCAGGTAGGTCCCTAATGGGGCAGGAACACGAACAGAGCCAAGGAAAATAAATTGAAAGCGGGAACTGCGGGTTGGAGCATGATAACACAGTCTTCCATTGTCTATACGGTTCGCCTAGCTAAATATGAGGGCCCTGAACTTATTGATAATGAAATGGGATTTTCGAGAAAGCAGCCATTCATTGGCTTCATTACTCAGTATCATCAAACATCCCGCAGAGCAAACTCAGCTGAATGCTTTCTGCAAAAGCGGCAGGCAGCGATAGGAGAAGCATTACTTGTCATTCCTACTTGACCTAACCAATGTTACGTAGGAGTGCAAGTGGCTGGAAGGCCTTGGGCTCTGCGATACATTCATCATCGTCGGTATATTAATACACAGAGAAACAGTCACTTAAGTACTCGGTCACCTACTACATTGACACATAAGCTAGAATACTTCTGAACCTTGGGGCCTGAAACGTCCCTTTCCCCATGCAAAAGCTATCGAGTTCTGTGCTTTTTCTGAGCGACTTCCTAACTCGAGACATCTCATGACGTCTCATATATCATATATCCCTTTCGAGGCGCTAGAACCTGTTCGATAAAATGTTTCATTTTTCCGGTGAACCATGACTCCATATATGCAGGCGCCGTGCAGTGTAACTTGGCGAGCTGAAGCAATTTTTCGGGATCCCACAGCTAGTCTGAAAGGGGATATGAAAGCGAACGGAGGCAGTTCACATCAATGAGGAGGACATTTCAAACTCGTCCAGGGTGCCCTTTCTACTCAGCTTACTGCCCGCGAATTGCATGCGCATATTGTTCTTCTCTTCATTGTCACAACTAACTCCCAACCAGATTATCTTGTCACTATTAAAACTTTCTTGTGCTTGACTGAAGGTGCATCAACAATGGCAGCTAAACAGTTTAAGGAGCTATCTGATCTGATCACCGAAGCCGCTAAGACGGGTATGGCGCGTGAGAGCTTCTTCTCTTTTGGGGACGAGGGTCTCACAGCAAGCGTAGGTGCAACTGGACGGTTGATCCGGATCACGCAGCATTTCCCAGGACAGAAGACAGGAATCTGTGTGGACGATGAGGACATTAGCGAGCCCTTCTGCGTTTTTTGGCGCTTAGATGGCTTTTTAAGACGTTCCCGCAACGAAGAGAAGGGCGGAGTCGGTCCTCACATCAATTCTCTGTATCCGGGAGAAAGGTCTAAACAACACATTGTCAATGATCGATGGCCTACCTTTACCATAGCGATACCTGGCAAGATTTCGGAAAAGCTCCGTGTGTCTTATGTGGCATTCCAAGGCACCATCTATCAGAAATTCGACATCATAGACACAGCCGAAAAAGAATTGGCACAACAGGAAACCAAGGAATTCCCAAGCGGCATTCTGGATGCTCTATCACTGGATTCGGGATTATTGATCAGAAACCTAGACTTCGTGAATTTGGGAAATCACTTCAATGAGGCTTCGTCGCGAACCCGTGACGATTCAAACGCGCGGGTGTACACTACTAGCCTTGGGCAAGCAAAGAACCATGTCAAGCGGGAACACAAAAGTCACGACAAACATTTCGTCCTCCATCTCCAAGTCTTGGATCCGAGTAACTCGCTTGAATTTCACACACTAGACCAGACGGAAACTTGCTACGGTATTCGAAAGAGCAGCAATGATTTCAAGCACGCAATTTCAGAGCTTGTTCTGGCATACACGCTCAGGCAAGGCTCCACGGCTTCCGATCTTGAACGTCTGCCAGATTGGGACAAATTCATCAAAGCTGGCGAGCTTCTTGAAAGTCACCCCACGGTCAGACTGACGGAGAACGACCATCTCAACTTCTTCCTCAGAAGAAACCTGGAGTATATCCTTTCCGTCTGCAGCATTCCGGTGTCTGAAGCAGATTCCGATGGAGTACCGGCTTATGCCCTTACATGCGGTGATATTGAGGGTCATCGGGTGACGACATCAGCGAGCTTGTAAGTTATTTGGGTTTCTGATAGTGTCCTACGTGCTGATGATTCGACAAAGCTATGCTTTTCAATTCTTGCTTCTCGGTCTTGATCACTTCACGACCTTGCATTCAGAGTCTGACAAACTGCCTGCATGCACCTGTGATCGTGATGAGAGGCCTCTACCATCTCCGCCACTGCCTTATGTCTGCATGATGAAGAGGCGTATTGAACACGTATGCAAAGGCCATATGAAATGGGTTTTTCAAAAAGCAGCCAGGTCTAGCAGTCTGTTCTGTCCTAATTATTGGACCAATGGCGATGAAATTGACGGCTGGAAATCGAACATGTGGCTTGCACAACAATCTCTTGTTGACGCCCCTTTCCAATTTATCAAAGCCGGGGACTTTTACGAAAGAATCGACGGGGAGATGCCAGAAGATCATTTGCAAGCGGCGAGGACTGCTTACAAGAGCTGGATTTGTCTTCTCGAGAAGATTGAGAAGTCCGGAAAATACGCATTCCCCTCTTACAAGGCCAGCGAGGATGACAAACCGACCAAAACCTTCTATCTGACAGACCATGCTCTAATTTGGCAAGCAATAAGATCTGCGGAGTCAATCAAGCTTCACTACTCACCCAAGGACGATCCTGAGCTAAATGAGAAGATGGGTAGATATTCGGCTGACAGGTTGCGGGAAAACATCGTCAAGAGATTTACGACTGAGAACTCTCTCTTGAAACAGAGAATGATCGCGGTGAAGCGGAGTCCTACGCAAACCCGTTTTCTCTTCCGCTCCAAAGATGTTGCCCTTTTCCGTGCCATGAAGGAAGGCCTGTTCAAACAAGCTGATATCCAATGGACGAATACCCTTGATAGCCAAAAACATCATGAAGGCAATGACGACACTGACTGGAGTGACCCTCGAAGATTCGCACTAGCTATCACGATGGCCCGGCATGGGAGACTTATCAACTTTCGTACCAGAAAGGAGTTGACTGAGCAAGCCTTATCAATTCTGCTTAGTACCTCATCCTCCAACGGACTCTTCACAGGGGCACTCGATGAACGACAAAGTCCAACCATATACGAGGACGAGAGAGACAGAGACAACTATTGGACAGTGGCCTTCGAAGTTGCGTACATTTTGTGGAAAGACTACTCTCCCCTACTCACCAACGACCTCGATGACGACAAGAAGCATATATCGAAGTCCACAGACAACTGCCTAGAGCATATGTGCCAGTCTATCGAGAGGATCTCGAAACATCTGGGAGATCTGGCTGTTCATCCGACAGAGACAACAGGACCAAGATATCGTTACGGCTACTGGATGAAACACAATCTCCCCTTCAACAACGTGATAGACGACAACGACGTCGTGGAGCTGCAGGACGAGTGGCTGTATAATGAGCCTGATTTCTTCGTCAACACAACGGCCACGACCACAGTCGGTACGGAAAATAGACCAGATGCCGATGCAAACGCAGAGCCTCCGATGCCAGCAAAGGTTATCCTTGCGTACGTTCAACTCAAGATCGACATCGAGGAGCGTAAGCCACTCAAGGAAAAGCGACCTTCGTCGTCTTTCGCAGTTGACGCCTATCTGCAGGGCGAGGAAGATTTGTTCAAGAAAGCTGTTCAGTCCCAAAGGGAGGCTCACAAGGCCAAAAAAAGGTTTTGGGCTTTCATTTCGACAAACGCGGAGGAGAATTCGGGCTGCACAAAGACGTTGGCTCCAAACGAAAAACGTGAACAAGGAGAGATGAAACACTTCTTCCACAGACACAAGACCAGCAGCAACTTCTTCGCCGAGGAACCGATAGCATCGCTGAACATATGGACAACGGAGTTCCAAATGGCCTTCTACTCCGGTGTTAAGGAAGAAGAGTTTTGGCGCGGAAACAAACTTGTAAAGGTAGCAATGGGGTTCCGTTTCGAGGGCGACTTTTTCGACAAATATTGGACCTGCCGTTTTGTGGTGGCAAATCCTCACCTGCCGGCTAGCAAGAATGAAGTGAAAGGTGACTTGATCAAGTTGCTGCAGCAAAACCGCGAAGACGATACTCATTACTTCGGGGAAGTCAAGACCGGTCCTTGGGAACAACGAAGAGTGCTCGAATTGATATTATTCGGACACATCATCAGCGAAATGGCTACGAGCGCGGGCGACATCCTCAAATTGGCCGAAAGCACTGTGCTGAAAGAGAAAACTAGGTTGGAACAAAGGCTTCGAAGGCTCCAAGGCTCTCACATGTCCAAGCAAGAACAAGGCGATCCGACCCCAGATGACGGCGGTTCTATCAACTACAACAGCTTCGTCATCACCAGCAATGAGTTCCGTAAGTTTCAGGAACGTTTGCAGATGATACACGGAGATTTCGCAAAAGCCAGACCCATCAGCGACCATTGGCTCAACCGGGAGAAGGATCGCCAAGCCGAACGGCCCCGCTGGACGTTCAGCGACGAGAGTCGGTACAGGTCAACACTGAACAAGTTACTGGTCGTAAACCGGCGGGCTATCCAAGACCTGGATCGCAACCTCAAGGGAATTTCTATCCTTGCAGAGTCAATTACGAAAGAGCTCGAGTACGTTAGCAGCGGTCTCGAGAGTATCTCGAATGAAGAAAGCCGACAGAACAATAAGGATGTCAAGATTTTCACATACACAACTGCCATATTCTTGCCTCTGGGCTTTGCAACGGGTATGTTCAGTATGAGCGGGACGCCTGATTCGCAAACGGTAGGCAGGATGGTAGGACTGTTTTTTGGAGTAGTCATTCTGGGTCTATTGATGATCCTTATTGTCGCAAAGGTCAACGCCAAATATGGAAAGAGGATCCGGCAAAAGATCCATCAGGCGTGTGTTATGTGGAAATTGGCAATCCTCATTCTTTTTCTTGCAAAGTCTTACGCCAAAGAGCTGATCAGGCGGCGGCGGCAGAAGATCAATGGGGCGTCTCTTCGGCATGAACGTGAAGCAAACGCGGAAGGAGAATCAAACGAGGAAACGAACGCTGACCGCAAGGAAGATGTTGCGGAAAAAGCATCGCGGCGAAGGTTTTGCGGCTTGAAGATACGCAGGAAGCAGCAGGGCGGTGCTTTGGCGAAACGTAAAGAAGAGCACGTGGAAGAAGGGAGGGGTTTATTCGGCGTTCCAAGGGTGGACGAGACGGCAACCTCAGGGAGCGTGCAAAGCTCTAAGGGTTGAGGGCTAATTCAGATTTCGAGGTAAGGAAGCAACATGAAGAAGATTTCAGGATAGTTTGTAAATGCAGAATCACTTTCAGTATGCGAAACCTGATGTTCTATAATCGTTGAATCGCGGCCCTTGCCAGTTTCAGAGTCAAAATACTCCGTATTGGTTTTAAAGGCTCACAATGCGGAGTAGGGCCCGAGATTTGGAACGTTGCGGCTCGGGGCGCCGTCGTGGGGGTTTGGAACAAGTACCTGCCATTTCCAACGGCAACATGCCAAACAGTACACCAATACATCGGGAAGAACACATGGGGAAAGCATCCGATCATTTGCGCGGCATCACCATATTCGAAGGATGATTGAGGACAAGGTAAGAAGAAGCTGAGGCGCGTCTCGTTCGTTCGATCGTTTGCCCCGGAAACCGGATGACTGGGAAAGAAACCACTGGATCCCTTCCAAGGTTCATTTCATTTTCCGTGCTCACGCACTAGAGCTAATGAGCCAAAATCTGACGGGTGAGCTAGCCAGCTACAATTTCTGTGGGTATTTACAAGGGGACGGGAAGCACTTGCCAACTTGCCATCTCATCTTTCTGTCTCCCTACAAACATATCTGCTTCACCTTCTCCTCCACAAGAAACCGCCGAAGCATGCTATCAGCCTCAGCACATCTATCAGAACGTTTGTCATCGACAACAGCAGGTCTAGATCGAGAGATTCGAGACACGGAACATGGCACAGATCACGGATGCAGACACGCCCGCTGGCTCAGCCCCCGGCCATCAGATCCCTGCCGAAGGATTCGCGAAGGCACCTCACAGACTCCTCCCAGCGCCTGCCTGCCCGACGATGGAGATTTCGCTTGGCTCCAATTCAGCGCCATTTTAACCTATTCCCTCTTCTTCCTAGCGTCACATCCAAATTTATGAACTTTTTTTTTCTCACCTCCCAAGCGGTGGTGTGCTGGACTGCTGGTACCTGTTATTTGGCTGCCTGCAGTACCTGAGATGCTTGGCCCCTCTCCCCCCTGCTTGTACCGCCCCAGCCCGTCTGAATCCTTACGGATGCTGCCCTTCTCTTTCCACCCACCACCGTCTCGTGCGATGGGACTTCAGGGACTCCAAGGTTCCAGACATGGGGTTCATCGGTTGCGGTGTCGGATTGGCGCCGTCTGACTGGTTGACGCGGACTGGACGGGATGACCCAGAAGGGGGCGTGTGAGTGCGAGAGTGTGAGCTGGGAAATGGATGAGCACGAAGGATTCTGTGAAAAGCGAGTGCTTCCCTGGTTCCCTGCTGATCGTGTCCCATTTTCCCTCTGTTCTGTCTTTTTGCCTGCCATTCACTACAATTACTTACCAATTGCGACCCCTTCCGTCGTTTGCGAATCGCTTCATCTCAGGTTCCTCGATCTCGCAGTGTAGTAGTACCCACACGCGGTCATCCTTGTCTTGTCTTACACGAGTAGGCAAAGACAGGCTCGAAGTCGAAGTCGAACTCGACCTCTCAGAGCTCATTCATCCGTCGACAGAGAGCATCTAGACACCAGTTCTCACGACCGTTCACCACATATACTCATTTCGAAATGGCGCTCTCAACAAAAACGACGTTCATCGCGTCAACCTTTCCCGAAAACCCGCTCAAAACGGCCGACTTCTCACCACCAGCGTCCTCCTGCTCGGGCATCTACCTCACCAACAACGTCTACGCCATCGATAATGACTCGAAATGCCTACCCAACAAGTTCAACGGCGCCAGCACGGCCTTCTACTCCCCCGGAACCGTCTGCCCGACGGGCTACACCGCGCAACCCCAGTGCTCGCGCAACGGTGGTGTGCGCTCTATCACGACCGTTACATGCTGTCCCTACCGCGGAGACATGACGCTATCGTGTGTCGAGGACGATATGACGCTCGCCAACGTGTGGGAGACACAATTTTGTACGTGGATGGCGGGCCCCGCGACGGTCGTTGATATCACGCGGACGGACAATGGTGTTGTGGCTACGCAGGCTGTTACGATGTCGGACCGTGATGGCGTGAACGCGTGGGGTATCAGGATGGTGTATCAGGCAAGCGATCTCGTGCCCAAGACAACGTCGGGAGCATCAAGCGCGTCGGCAACAGCAACGGGAACGGCGGCGGCGGGAAGTGGTGCGACATCAGGTGCGAGTGCGACTGGGACGGCGGCCGGAGCGGACAACACCAGCGGCAGCGCGACCGGCGCCGCCACATCGGGAGCGAGTTCAGGTGGTTTGCCAACGGGTGGCATCGTCGCTGTAGCAGTCGTCATTCCCGTCGTCGCGATAGCGGCGCTCGTGGGCTTGTTCCTGTGGTGGAGACGGCGGAAGCACCGATATGCGGGCGTGAAGCCCGCTGAGACGCCCACGGCACCTGAGATGGATGGATCGTCGGCCATGGGATCTCAGAGCGCGTACGCGTATCAGAACCAGCAGTACGCGCAGCAACAGCATGATGGGCAATATCCCCAGGCATCGCCACCTGCGTCAGAAATGGTTGGGACAGATATGGCTGGGTATTACAACAACGACAAGGTCCTCATGAACCCCAATGCCCAGCATCAAGGCGCAGGACATACGCAATACAAAGGGTATACCCACCCCCAGCCGCCTGTAGAGTTGGCTAGCGGGGAGGGACCGACGGAGTTGCCTGCTGATAATGATCGGAGGTGACGGTAGTCATGGGCGCGATCAAGATCTCTGCGGCGATGAGATGCTGAGAATTGTGTATAGAGGAGAGTGTAAGTCGTAATGGAGGGAGTTGAGTTGAGATGGATATATCATTGTAGTAGGGCTTCATTTTCATACCAGCGTGCAGGGCGTTTAGATGGCCGATTTTCATGAAGGGACGTCTCCTTGAGGCATGGCAACGTCCAGTTGTGATGCTATGGTTGAGTAAGGTTGATAGAAGATATCCTGAAGTAGAGAAGCATGAGTTGAAGTCTTCATCATGAGGCGTTGCGCTTAGTACCTATAGGTGAGAGGAAGGAAGTCAGTGAGAGAAAGATGAGTGAGTTGAAGCAACTTATGTACCTCGATGTGTGAACTGTGCAGTCAGTTTACACGACGATCGGATAAAAGGTTATGATAGATGATTTTGGGGCATATTTGAGAGGTCAGCAATCCAACCACATGAGGAAGCTTCTATGTATTCGCTTTACCTCCGTGACGGACATTGAATCCATCCGGGCCAAGCGTCGTGCCGCCGATGGCCAGTGAAGAGTCACACCGACCGCCATGATCCCGGGGGCTACAGCAACCGGTGGCCCCGGCTTCCCACCTTAGTGTGAGCTCACCGCCTGCAGTTTTCAGTGGAGGCGGTCGACCTGCGAATGAATTACCCCGCCACCCCGCCATCCAAGAAAGCTGCAAAAAAATTCGACCCGCGCAGCGCAATTCCTGCTTATCAAGCACCCGGAACCCTCGATTGACGATTAATAAAGCAACGTCGTCTTCCTGCTTCTGCGCCCTTGTTGTCTCTGCAATAAATAAGGGATCGATACCCAGCGTTTCTTTCTACGTCATACCCTTTTACCTTTCTTCTCGAAAGAAGAATCACGAGGATTCGGCGCATTACGTCCAAGAGTGCGAAAACCTCAACTCGAAAGATACACGAAAAAGACCCAATTACCAAACACAAGCGAAACAAACAAACAAGATGTCGGCCCCTCACGAAAAGACACCCCAAGACGACGGCCACGAGTCGGAGCCCGAAATGCTCGAGGCCGACGAGGTCGGCGAGGAAGTCAACGTCGACGACGAGGACATGCCCATGGACTCTGACGACGAAAACGAAGAAATCAACCTCCAAAACGACTCGGTCGCCTACTTTGACGCCCACAAGGACTCCGTCTTCGCCATCGCCCAGCACCCCGTCCACCCGACCCTCATCGCCACCGGCGGCTCCGAAGGCGACGCAGACGACGCCCCCGGAAAGGGCTACCTCCTCTCCACCGCCGCCGCCGCCTCCCGCCCCGTCCTGCCCGCCTCCTTCTCCGGCGACGCCGCCCAACCCCAGTCCACCGAGCTCCAGTTCATCTACCCGATCGACGGCCACACGGACAGCATCAACGCCCTGGCCTTCACCCTCCCCAAGGGCGACTTCCTCGTCAGCGGCGGCATGGATGGCAAGCTCCGCGTCCACGCCCTGCGCGTAAATTCCCCCACCGCCGAGGCCGCGAGCGTCCAGATCAAGTTCATCGCCGAGGCGCAGGAGGTCCCCGAGATCAACTGGATCGCCGCCTGCCCGAGCCCCAAATACCCCAACACCATCGCCATCGGCGCCAGCGACAACTCCGTCTGGGTATACACCATCGATATCGCGGCGGGAGGCGGTAACCCCGCGAACTGCCTGCAGCTCGTGCAGACGTACTGGCTTCACCAGGCCCCCGTCACCGCGGGCGCTTGGACACCCGATGGAAACTTCCTTTGCACTGTCTCCGAGGACGCGAGCTTGTACGTGTGGGACGTCTGGGGAGAGGCAGCGGCCGCGGGACTGGTGGAGAGCAACGGCCAGACGACGGTGAGCTTGACGGCCGAGGACCAGCGCTTCGTGGTCGAGGGCGGGTTGTACAGCGTCGCGGTGGATCCCAAGGGCACGTTGGTCGCTGTCGGTGGTGCCGGTGGCGCGATCCGCATTGTGAGTTTGCCTAGGCTGGCGAGTTCTGCACAGGCCGGCAAGGGCGGGAAGAGCAAGAGCGCGTCGGACGTTGTAGGCGGAGGACAGATTCTGGCGGCGCTGCAGACGGCGTCGGATTCGATCGAGGCGCTGAGCTTCACGACGGCGGCGGGCGGGCCGGGACAGATTTCTACGTTGCTTGCTGCTGGGTCCGTTGATGGCAGTGTTACCGTGTTTGACGCTGGCAGGAGGTTTGCCGTCAGGAGGAGTCTTGTCGGTGCGCACGAAGAGTTCAGTGTGGTCAAGGTGGAGTTTGTGAAGAACAGCTGGCTGCTGACGACGTGTGGTATGGATGGTGTTGTGAGGCGGTGGGATCTG